TTAAAGATTTGAAGTAGGGGAAATAAATGATTTCATTTGGATGTTTAATAGATAACCCTGATTGCTTTCACTGGAGTCAGGCAGAAGTGAAAACAGGAAAAAAGTTGAGATTATTGGGGATATTTATTGAAGCACCTATGCTGGGATATCATGATCACTTTAGCTAGTTCAGTGGAGTTTGCAGTGAGGAAGAATAAAGATACCCATTTATGTAAAATCAAGAAGACAAACTGGCTAATGGGATACACAATTGAAAGAAGGGAAAAAATCTAGGATAATTGTCAGAGTACCTGAATGATGTGGATGGGCTATATCATGTACTGAGATGAGAAACACTGTGAGAGAAGTTAGTATAGTAAGAGGAAACCTAAATTTAATTTAGAACTTGTTAAATTTGAGATGGTTATCAGATATGCAAGCAAAAATATCAAGAAGGTAGCTCAATATGAATCTGTAGTTTACTTAAAATCATTGGAAAATTGAGACCACTCAGTGAGATTATTAGGTTTCTTCTTACTAAAGGGGAGGGGCAGGACTGAATCATATTAAAGGGAAGGGCCGGGACTGAACTCCAGCCTTTAGAAGTTGAAGACAGCAGAAGAAGCCAATGAAGAAGAATATTTGAAATGACCAAGTAGGCCTTAGCTGATCTTGAAATAATTTCAGTGGAATAGTGAAGCAAAAACCTGTTTGGAAAGGTTGTAAAGTGAAATGGGTTGAGGAACAGAGACAATTATCAAGACAACTATTTCAAGACATTAGGCTACTGAAGGATAGTCACAAAAAGTGGAAGGTAGATGTCATATTGACAGTTTAATGCAGTAGTGTGGGGTCTTTTCAAGATGACTTGAAGATGTACTAATGAGAAAGGAAGGAAAATTAGAGGTAACAAAATGGTTCCTGAACCGTAAGCTTTTAAGTGGTCTTTGGGGACTGACAGCAAAGACATCAAATCTGGTGTATTTTCACACCACACTCAACAATACTGAAAAAGTACACGTGGATCACTTTTTAAAAAATCTCCACTGTGTGTTAATAGTAAATGCTCACTAAATACTTTTGAAGAAAGACAGGAATGAGAGAAGGAGGGAAGGAGGAAAGGAAGAAAAATGAGAAAAAGAACCAAAAAGAAATCCCATATTTTATCCTTGCTTTCCCTTCTATTCTCATTACAATTGTGCATTCTTTCTGATGGAGGTTCCCCATTTCAAAACTCAGTAATTTATAAAACTTTCTGTATTATCTCATCATTCCAAATGACTATGAACACTCTCCAAAAGATACGTCTTTCTTTTATTTTTTCCTAACTCTCCCCTGTTGTTTTCAATCAGCCTATGGAGAAAAAAATATATATATAAAAAAGCCAGGTAGGTAAAATTTTAAAAAAAATCCAAAGGGTAGCCATTAGTGAATTATTCAATGTCAAATGAAGACATCAAAACTTTTCTGGACAATCAATGGTGCTGTCACTTAATGTATTTTTTCATTGAAAACATTCCATAAATTGAAAACCTCCAAATATGAAATATAAAGTTTTGAAATTTATAAATTATAGTACAAACTATTTTTATTCTTTCATTTGTCGTATTTATTACAAATTCACCTAGTGCTTGTGTAATATAATTCAAGGTAAAAATTACTGTTCAATTTTGTGAACTTATTTTTTTCCCATGAAACTCATTCTGGATACAGGCATTTTTTTCCCCAAAGCTGACTCTTCTAAATTATATTTTAATTAAAATGAAATGAAGGTTTATAAGTTTGCAGTTTGTGATATGTTTAATCTCTATTTCAAGTTATATCTCAAGTATTCTGACATTTATTTCTAAGTCATTGCTTCGTCTCTGATCAACCATAACTTTTACCATGCATTTACTGTTTCATATGAATTATACAAGCAGAGTTTCAGTCCCCATGAATTCTCAACTACTGTTGCACAAGGATTTTGGGGGAAAAAAAGAAATAATGATGCTCACCTCTCCATACCTCATTTGGAGAGAATACTTTCTAAATTTGTTCCTAATGCAAGATTGAAATTAATCTTGATTTCCCATCAAATGCACAGGGATTTTACAATATAGTTCATAATTGTGTTTAATTTCTCCAGGGTACAAATTAAGATAAACAAGTCACTGACCGTGTTTATCTATAAATAGAGCAGATGGTGTGGGACTGAGGTTAGTTATCAACTTTGCTGACTTTAATTTCATGGTTATAAAACGCTATAAACCTCACTGTTTATAAAAGGCAGGGAAGGAACTCCAGTGGGCTTCAGTAGCCAAGAAACCCTCAGTAACATTAATCTCTCTAACTGATATTCGGTATCCTCCTAGGGTGCAATATTTAAGATTGTGGAGTGATTGCTAGTCGCATTTAAATTTTCACTGGGATAATTAGCTATCATTTCTGTCATTGATCTATTATAACGTTGTTAATGAGTTCCATGTGAGAGGAGTTTAATAAATGAGATGATTCTAAACTCTGCTAGGTGAGTGTTTAACAATTACTTAAGGCAGTTACATATCTAAAAAAAGCCTTTTTTGTTTCAAAATAATACTTTTTTTCTTTTGCAAAGGTGAACTGTAACACCCAACTAGACTAAGTGTACTTAGGGATAGAATTTCATAAGGAAAAACCATAGCATCATTTAGATAATTAATCATCTAAGGTATATTGTATATATTTAGACCATGAATATAGCTACAACTTTTATTTAAAAGGCCATATAACTTAAAAAGAAGTAAAATTCTTGATTCTTCATATTCTGAATTGATTTAAATACACAATTTTATTGTGATCATTTATTTTACTAAAAGTCTATATGATCAATGTGATTACAATTAATTTTTTTCAAGGACCGCTTATTAAAAAATTAAAATTAAATTAAAATTTCTCAATTTTCCCCTTTCAACTTTATAGTGAATAAAAAAGTTATTTTACAATCACAAAGTAAAAAATAATTCACAATTTCTACCTCTATTACTTTTACATTTTTAAGTGGTTTATTTTTCATTCTAACAAGGGGGAGGCTTTTTTTCTTTTTCTAGAGTCAGAGTCTTGCTTTTTCACCCATTTTTTTGTGTAGTGGCTTGATCACAACTACTGCAATCTGGAACTCCCGGACTCAAGTTATCCTCACACCTCAGCCTCCAGAGAATTTAGACTACAGGTGTGCACCACCATGCCCAGCTAATCTTTAAAGTTTTTAGAGATAGGGTCTTGCTATGGTGGCCAGGCTGGTTTCAAACTCCTGGGCTCAAGTGATCTTCCCACCTTAGCCTTCCAAAGTGCTGGTTTTACAGTCATCAGCCACACTGGAGGCTTCTTAAATAGATGATAATCCAATATGCAAGTTGGAGGCTTAAACTGTTTTTAAAAATGCCTTAACTGTGTTTGAGTTCAGACCCCCTGAGAATGAGTTTTCTAATGACAAAATTCTCAGTTACTTTTCTAGTCCTGTATTGGGCTGCTTCTTTGTGACCCACTGTGGGAGGTTTATTACTGGTCTGAAACTCCAATGTATCAGTCTATTGATTATTGTTAACACAGTGCTCAAATCTTGGCTCCCAATAAGCTGTCTTCTGAACAGCAGCAGCCCTGGGTGGAGAGAGAACTGAGTGAAACATTTGGTCATAAAGTCATGTACCTCATGAAGACATTCTGGTCAACGACAGACAGACTATACATCAGTGGTCCCATAAAATTATAATGCTGTATTTTTTATAGTATCGTTTCTATGTTTAGATGTTTAAATGCACAAATATTTACCACTGTGTTAAACTTGCCTAAAGTATTTAGTACAATAGCATACACTGTGCGTGGTTGTAGCCTAAAAGCAAAGGCTATGTTATATAACCTAGGCATGTGGTAGGCTATACCTTGGTGTAAGTACACTCTATGATGTTCACACAAGCACAAAATCGACTAAGCCTGCATTTTTCAGCATATATCCCCATCATTAAGCAATGCTTGACTAGATTTTCTTATCTCCTTTCCTGCTCAGAGCTTGTTGTCACTAGTTTTCATCAGATGTAATATCCCACTGTTTGATACTTCCATTTTTGTAAACAACTGTCTACTCATAGTGTCAGGTCTCAAAAATGCAATGAAACATCTGTGACAGAAGACAGCAAAACCTCTCTAAAGTGAAAGCTTTATCTCATTTTTCTTACTGCCTCAAAACCAACTTTTACCTTCATTACATAAATTGGTTACTAAACTATTGGTATGTTTGACATTCATATTTGTCTCTAATTAAGGAAAACTAGGAGTGATTTCACTTTAAAGTTATTGATAAAAATCACCTAAAAGAGATCTATCAGTTAATTTTAACAATTGTATCTTTCTGTCGTTAAAGTAGAATAGCCAGAGAAAAGACCGTTCTCACAGGAACAGATTTGTTTTTATGACCTGGCCACTCTAAAGCATGATTTCTAGAGTTGTGAGGCTATTGGAAACTGATGGGAATGTATTTCTCAGAAACATGACCAAGAAGACTAGCGCCTCAGAATGGCCAGGAATAGCTCTGAAGGGAGGCAAATATAGCTAACAGGAGAAACTGAAGGTTTAGCTAACGGAGAGAAAAAGAGACAGAACAAGGGAATTAAGCAAAACTAGGTATTCCAGTATCTGAGTGCAGGGGTACATTAAAACAATCACTTTTGTAAAGAAAGGATCTTTTTCAGTATCCCAAAGGATGGCCTAAAGTTGCTATCTTTTATTTTTCTTGTCTGTATATAAGATTTATGTTATAAAATGTAATCATTGTACTAATCTTGGTTTGAAAAAAATAAAAGCTTATATAGGGAAATTATCTGATTAAAAGGGGAAAAACACGATGTTAAAATTTAAGAAAATTGTTTTATTCAAATCTATCAGATTAAAATAATGTAATAGAAATAAATTGCTGCCTTATAAGATAAAGCAAATTGTAATCCATAAAATTAAAATAAAGTATGATATGTAACTACTTTAATCTCATTTTTGTGATTTTCTTTCAGATTATCCAACCCTGTCTAATGTCAAAAGCATGGCATTGTATACAAGAAAACATACAAACAAAATCACTTTAACTGGATTTCAGTCCCCCTTCAATGGTCAGTTAAAAATCAATCCTCTATAATATTTATATTATTTATTTCCTCTAAAAATCCAGTGGCTATCTTTTCTTAACCTTTTTTTTTTTTTTCTTCCTAGGAGAAGTAATCTATGCTGCCATGTGCATGACAGTCACCTGTGGAATCCTTCTCTTGGTTATGGTCAAGCTTAGGTAACTGAATATAAGTCAGAAGGAAAGGTCTGAAAGGGAGTCACTTAGCTGTGTTAAAGTATGTTGCACAATGGCTGAGCTTACAAAGAGCCTGAGAATGAAAGCTTCTCTGTTAAGACATACTAAATCAAGTTTTATGTGGCATAGGTCCATGGAAACGTTACTTTCAGTCTTCCTACGTAAGGGAAATGTGATCATAGGAGATTTTTTATGTTGCATTTTATAAGCACATGTGCATTGTATGTTTCTTCCAATTAAACTCTTATCAATCTCTCCCCTTGGCTTCCCCTACCAAATCCAAATTGAACTTTGCTGCATTCATTATTCAAATCATTTTCATGATTGATAGGCTCACATAACTGACCTATTGTTTACTGCATGCAGTTTATGTTTACCTAAAGATGTATTATTCACTCTGATTTTTATATGCTAATACATTTTACTCATTTTTAATAGGCAATTATTGAAAAAGACATTTAATAAAGCCTCAGAGTGCCCCTAGAAAGACATTACCATTGCCTGACATTAATTTATTCTCCAAATCTTGGCTGCTTTTATTGCTGGAATGTGGTAATGCTCCAGCAGGCATGTGAGACATTGAGATGAGATATTACATCAACCTCTAGATTTCTAAATGTCTAGTGTTTAAAATTTTTCCACTTATTTAGCATCTACAACTATACATAAAATAGTGTAGACTTACCTTTAATTTTAAAAAACGTTCATATTTAAACATCAATCATGTTCATTTGCTTATTCCTTATACATATGGGTACATGTCTGTGAAATTTGAGTAGCATAAATATTAATGAAGAAATATACATAAGTGTGCATACAGCCATACATACATGTAAGTACATACACAAACTATATTTATCAGTAAGATTGGGCCTTTAGAGGAACAGAAGTATTCACTGGAGATTTACCTCATAACATTTGACACCTAGAAAGATTAATTCATTCAATCATACAATGCATGTAAACATATCTTGCTCCTCCAGAGATCTCAGTCTTCAAAAGGCCTTGACAATTAGGCAAATAAAAGACTGGCATGAGAAGGTGTTTGGTGATACCAAGGGGTCAGGTACATATGGACATCCTAATTTATTGATTTTTAAACGCAATGCCAGCTAAACAAAATGTATCCACTGTTTGGACCCAACCCCTCTAAGCATTTCATGTGATGTTAACTAAAACCAGTACCAAACACACTGCTTTTCTCCAAGGCCGCAAAAGTTATAGTTGTATGAGAAGATATTCCATGGGTTCTAACATTTGATTTGAAGGACAAATAATTAGAGTCCATTGCTAAGAGGGATAAATAGCATTTGGAATTTATTAAGGTTTACTTGATTTGGTTTTAAGTACTTGAGAACACTGTTTAGTTACTGTTCTTGCCTAGATATTCCATGACAAACATTGTTACCAAAAAATATGGACAGTTTTCTGGCCCAGCAAAAACATCTTTAATGGTTCTCAATCTTCACTTCTTAACTACACACAGAATGTGTAAGATTTACACCTGTTCCATGATCTCATTGGTTTTTAGATATTACTGTTGTGCTACAGGTATAAGGTATAGACTACTCGTAATTCCCTATGTATTCGCTGTAACTGCATATTTTTTCTCACGTGCACAGAAGGCATATCGTTTTTTTGGATTGCAGTGGGGGTGTTATTATTATGGACAAATATTTTGAATTTATTCTAATGTGTATTTTAAAGCAAGTTATTCATACTATTAAATATATTTGTATTTAGTTACACATTATTTTCATATAATTTAAAATTTATCATAATGTATAATCTGAAAACCCCAAGCCCAGGATAAAAGAGACAAAATTAGAAGCAATTATAAAAAGAACAAACTGAAACAAAAGCATCATTGGCAACAAAACCTGTGTTGCCCCACACCTGGAGATAAATAATGCTCCCTAAAGAAAGAATGGTTGCTGTTTCAGACATTGTTCACTCACCTGATGGTCAGGCCTAACCCACGTGAATACCTGTCTTCTGTAAAGAATAAGGTAGTTGCGTTTGTTTCATGTTATGCTGTATTCAAACAGCCCTGAGCCTTCAAAGAAGTTTGCAGAGAAACAACTAAAAATTTAAATATTTGTGAAAAGAAAGGACTTTTTAAAAAATGATTACTTGGACATCATAGTTAAAGGTGTGATGCTCCCTAGAAAGACAATACGATATTTTACTGTTGGGACTTTACATTCTGGAACTTGATTAATTTTTTCCTCCAGGGTGCAGACTCCAGCAAAAATGCAAACACACAGCACATTTGTGAAATCCTTAAAATGGCATGTTGTTAACTTTTACTTTTACTTTTATACAGAACTTCCAGAATATCAAGTAAAGCAAGAGATCCTTCACTGAGCCAAGTACCTGGAGAACTCTGATTCATTAGGAGTCATGGACCCATAACACAATCACTCCTTCCCTCCTTCCCTCCTTCCCTTCCTTCCCTCCCCTTCCCCTCCTCCTCCCCTCCTCCCTCCCTTCCCTCCTACCCCTCCCTTCCCCTCCTCCCTGTCCTTCCCCTCCTCCCCTCCCCTTTCCCACTGCCTTCCCCTTCCCTATTCTTCGCTTCCCTTTTTCTTTCATCTTTTTCTTTTTCTTTTTTCTTTTTCTTTTTCGAGGGTAAGTTTTACTCTTGTTGCCCAGGCTGGAACAATGGCTCCAATTTTGTCCACTGCAACCTCCGCCTCCCAATCAACGATTTTACTCTGCCCATCCTCCTGAGTAGCTGGGATTATAGGCACCCACCACCATGCCCAGCTAATTTTTTGTATTTTTAGTAGAGATGGGGTTTCGCTAAATTGGCCAGGATGGTCTCAAACTTCTGACCTCAGGTGATCCACCTGCCTCAGCCTCCCAAAGTGCTGAGATTACAGGCGTGAGCAACCACATCGAGTCAACAATCACTTTCTTTAAAGCAAATCCTACAGCTGGTCAACACACTATTCCATCTGTCATCGAGAAAGAAAATGTTAAAATAGACTGAAAAATATTGCTTTAAGTATAATAATATGGCATGATGATGTTATTTTTTTCTTAATACTCAAGAAAAAATATACAGTGGTATATTTTACAACACTGGAATAGAAATAAAGTTTCCCTTTAAGGCAAAAAATGTTATCCCAAGTCACATTTTGCAGAATTTGCTTTATGATGAATATAAACCCATATAATATTAATTATTTGCGTCATAATATGACATAGCAGGTTTTCTGATCAATTACTTAAGTTCTCATTAACTTTCCAAGAAAAAAGTTAATACATATATCCAGTGTCTGTGTTATTTGTATATTTTCAACCATTTTGAAATCAGTCACTAATGTATTAGCATTGACTTTAAGTTCCTATATATATTTGATTAAATGAAATCCTTAAAAAAGTTGGAAGTGACATTGTCAGTTTGAATTTTGTAATTTGAATACCACTGAATTTTACTTTTTCACCTTGATATCTTCATTTTACTCCCATAAAATGTAAAACAACTACACTGGCTTAAAAAGTCAATATGCGCTTCAATAATGATAGATTCTTGTGAATTAAATCTTTCTAGGCTAATTAGGAGGAACTTCTGCAATAATAAAGTAACATCATAATTGTTACTTTTTATAATGTTCCTATACTGTGACTTTTGGCCTGGTTTGACATCAGAGTATAATTGTGATTAGAAAATTGTAGAAAATACGTTTATTAGTTAGAATTTTAATACGTATTTGTTTTTCAACTCCCTGCAATTATACTAGCACTTATTACTCAGAATAACCATGAGGTTGTATTATCTTTAGTGGAACAGAAGCACAAATATTCAATAACCTGAGGATATCATACTAACCATGGCATATTTACAATTAAAATTCAAATATTTTCTGCTCATTTGGTCTCATTTCTATTGCTATTCACTACACTTCAGATTAAACTGTCTACATTAAATTAAATTTGAAGTTAACATTTGGCTATGTTTACTCAAAGTAATTGAGAAGCCATCGTTTATCTTTTAGAACAGAGAAGAATAAATCGATAAGTTAAAGATTTTTCTCAAGGAGTTCTGTATATTCCAGTGGCTAATGCAGAGTATTAACGTGAAGAGAATGCAGGGATTTCCTTCTCCAAATCACTGACATTTAATTTAGGCTTGGTAATGTCTGGGAAAATGCAAACTGTTCTCTGGAAAACTGAGAAAAGTCAATTGCTTCTAGAAACATGCTTGTGTTGAGCAGAGAAGGGGAGAACAGAGTGTAAAATGGATGGCTTCCCTAAGAAACAGAATTTTGTCTCTTAGGACAGCAGGAATAAGTAGGCAAAACCACAGAAGGGGGAATCAGCATGAAGCATTTAGAGAACACTAAATAGTCACCTGTTTCTAGAGCAGAGAGTCCAAATTGAGAAAGTGTAGGACATACAGCTAGTAAACATCAGGACTAAGACACTGAGATACTAGGCTAAGGAGACACTATAAACGTGGAGTGTGGGCCTTTTAGAATGTGGTCCCCATCTTCATTGTCTTCTTTTATTCTTCAGTCCTCTGGGAAGCCTTTCCTAACATTTCCTTTCCTGTAGGTCAAGGATTCTTGTTCAGTGCTTCCCAGCACCTGGTCCTCCCCCATCTTAGACTACTACACTTCCCTGACGCAGCTTCATTTATTATTTTTGCTTAGCAAGTTGTAAGCACCCTGATTGAGTCTGTTGGCTCATCTTTGTTTTCTATTCCTTAGCACATAGTGCATGCTCAATAAATAAGTGTTTAGTGACAGAATTGTTTCATTTGGAATCCTGCAAAGTGCTGCAAAATAATTTTAAGGAGATTTTTGAATAAAAAAAGTTACGCTAGCAGACATAGAAATGGTGAACTATAAAGGACTAAAATGGATGCTGAAGAGGCGCTTTAAAGTGTACTAAAATAGCTGATAAATATTGGAAGCCTGCACTAATTTATTCATTCAATACTTACTTATCAAGCATATATTATGTATCAGCCACTGTACTAGGAACTGGAGATACAATCCTGAGGACAGTGTTCCAGTAAATTTGAAAAACAAAGTAAACAAGGTAATTTTTGAAAGTGATAGATGCCATAAAGAAGTGAACAGGCTGGAGTGATGGTAGAGTGATGTGAAGAGAAAAGTTAGCAATGATGTGAGAGAATGGAAGGCACTTCATAAATCTCACAATTCAGAATCAATGGAAACTTGGAGTCAGATATTTGTATGAGTTGAGATTGTAAGGATCATGGTAGGAATGAGTGTTGAGTATATTCTGATTTGTGCCATTAGGTAAACCCTGTTGCCCATACAATTGGAACTTGGAATGGGAAAGGGGAATATGCTAGTTATTTTAGGGTCTGTTCCAATCTTCCTCCACCTGTCATACACCCCTAGGAGGCTGACATTTATGCAACATAGGCCCCTTTGTCCACTGGCTTTGATTTGGTTCAGTCAATAGTGAGATATGGTAGAAAATGGGGGAGAAATTCTCCTGGACTCCTCGCCGAGATGTCCCCACAGGCTGGCTGTTTCCTTCAAGTGTTTTTATCAGTGTGGCCTTTTCTACACACATCTCTCCCGGATGGCAATAAACCTTTCCAGGCCTTCTCCCTGCAGGCTTAGTGGTGTGGACAGCTCAGTTGTTGCCATACCTGAGTTACTGGACTATGCCTAGAGGTTTTTCAACTACCTACACCTGTATAAAGAATATCTAAATCAAGCATTCTTAAGAGCCAACCAATTTCAGATAACTTGCAGTTTGTTCTAATTGGAGTATGCCATCTGCTTCCTGTTGGTTCCCTGACTGACACTGGTAAATATTTCAAGTTTAGATCAATTGACTTCCTAACAGTGACATATCCATGTGAAATCACCTAATAGTCAACTGGAAAATATGATTCTGGCACTGGTAAGTGGGATCAAGCTAGAACCATTAAATTTCAAGGTGTCCAATATCTTCCTTACATCTCTCTCATCCCAGATGAGAAAGCAAGTTTACCCTTGTGATTTCTGCAGGGGGGAAGTGATGTAGGAAAGGACAGCCAGATCACCAGGTGGCACAGATCACAGACCTCCCTGCAGAATAATTTGACCACTGATGAAATTCCTTCCAGAGTAGTCTCTTTCCTAATAAGATTTTGTACCCCTAGCTGCTTCTGCATATTTACCCACAGCCTCTTTCCCTTCACAGAATCATTCCATAAAACCCACAGGTGTTCCTGGGACCCGAGAGTCAGCAGATCAGTACCAGCTGAAATTCCGCAAGGTGAGTCAGAAAGGTCTGTCTGGAAAGGGCTTTAGGGCAGTAGGAAAACAGGGACTTTGTGATTACTCCAAAGCTGAGGCTTGCGTCTGTTCCTACTTTTGAATTCCCTGTGAGAGTCCTGAGAAACAGATCTTGAGGTTATCAAAACATGCATCCCTTTTCATTGCCATGTACAGTGAAATGAATACAAATGACTTGAGTGAATAGAATATTTCTTTTTTATTTTTTAGAATAAAAATGTTCTAAATTTTTCAGGTTGTGAGCTCAACAAATGCAACAATCAAATCTGAGTGACTAATGGTCAAACGATGGCACCACTGCTTTAAAGGCAGTGCCAGGTTGGCATGTACCCTGTGTGAACCAACACTGCAATTTTTACGTATCCCTGTTTGCTTGCTTTGTTCTTTCACAACTTGTTTCCCCTCAGAACTCTGAGATGAATACCATCTGGGCTGCAATGATTTACTGCACTTGAGTTTCTCAAGTTGTTCCCAAAGTGCCTTTTTGAGGCTTCAATGTCTATTCAGACCACACTGATTGCACCCCAAAATTTAGGGTAGTAGAATTGGTGTTTCCAAAACCTCAAACAAGTCAATTGCAATAAATGTATCTTTAATAAGAGTTTCCATAACACGGTTGTTTATAATCTTGGTTCTACTAAGAAGGAAACGTGCCTTTAAAACACAGTGGTTTAAAATTTTATTTTGGCAATATTGTCAGATTTAAATATAGATAACAGAGTCATAAAACTTCATAAAACTATAGAGCTTCTCCATCTAGTGCATATAATTACGTTAATGTTTCTATGAATTATATAACTATCTTGGGTATAATGGACTACTTAATATTTGCATATAATTTTAAAATTACACCAGTGGCAATAGAGACATAATTAGGTAAAATATTTTCTAAATATTTTATGTCTAGGTAAAAACAATTATAAAACAGACATCTTTCAGGTAAAATTTTCATTTGTAAACCCAGTTTGCTTTGGATATATGTATATAGTACATATTAAGCAGTGTTTTTGATTCACAGCTTAGTGCTTTTTAACGTAAAACTTACATGTTTTATTTTCTATGGTTATACATGCTTAAAAGAAGTTAAGGAGAACATATTCTCCTGGTTACCCAAAAGCTGTCTATTACTTTCCATAAAATAATATTGGA